TAGATCGGTCATTTATTATTATTGTATTATTGTCAAATCTCACCTAGTTAAATGTTCATCAATGTATTGTTGTTCTAATCGCAGCTAGTTAAATGCTCATCATTATTTTGTTTTTCGTCTCAAAGCTTGAAGCTCACACGCATAGACGAAATTACAGAAAGTTTGTATTAGTATTGCAGTATCACGCGATTTTCTGCATTATCATTTCTGCACGTTTTTTCGGCAGTTATATATAGTTTTGTACTATCTCACAACCGCTCACAACCTGCCCCGCTTAACATTTTATAAACCCGCTTATAATTAAGAAATAAACACGAAACCTAGAAAAAAGAAATACAGTCCACTTAATTCGCTAACATCCCTACTTCGGGTCAGCTGCCAGTATGCATACTTTCTGGTATCTACCCGGAAAATTTAGCTGCGACTAGGAAGACGTCTTTGACGCGTAGAGACATTCGCTTGAACATTAGAAAGGGACACTGAGTTTATTTCGTCAGAAAATTTGTGATTGTGAAAATGGTGGTCGATTTCAGCTCTCGAAATTAGTAAATTGTGGGTATTTATTACGCGTAAATATATAATTTATGTGGATATCGTGACGGAACATAAGGGGTTTTAGGCGGCCTTGGAATCATTAAAAGACTAGGAGGACTAAAATGTTTGAGTAAAAGCTTGATTTGGTTATGGGTTTGTCTACCTTGTAGCTGGAGGGGGAGGTGGAGAAGCTTTCCTGTCTGCTGGTTGGGTGGATGTAAGTGTAAATATAAATCGCCTACTTGTCGGCCTCATAGTGCGGTTGTCGTTTAAAGGAAAATGCGAAAATAATAATAGATATGTCAAATGGTGTTTCTTTTACTAATCATACCTATTTTGAATGCCCTTGGTGGCAAAGAGCAAATTACATCACAGCAATAGCGGCACTTTGGGTATTGAGATCCTATCTCAACCCATGATCACAATTTTTAAAGCATACATACCTCGTTCTCAATCTATAGCAGCCGATAAAATACTCAGTAATGTTAACCTTTCACGAAACTCAATAATATATTTTGGATATTTTTAGTCAAATGCATAAATAGCCAATCCTTTTAAAATAATATTAACATTAATTTTATTCGATATTTCCTAATTCACCACTCTTCATAGAGATTTTGTTGTTCACTGTGGAAGAGCAGATTGGAAGACACAAATGCACGTACAGTGACAAACTGGAAAAACATCGCGGTTTTCTTACTAGAAATTTACTTCCAGCTAGACCACTGACAACGGCAAGGTTTTGCCTAAACAATAAGGAGTCAATGAGGCTGTCATTTCCACACTTCTAAACCTTTTTACGTAATTTAGGTTTAGTTAATTTTTTCATTTTAGTGCAATCATTTCATTACAATCTGTCTAATAAATAAATTTTATGACTAATATTTACAAACAGGAATATCAGATTTCCAGTGAAACCTGCTTTTAAATGTAACTTCTTATTTACTTAAAATAACCTATCAGGGAGATCAAGAATGTCGTTAAATCGTTTGTTAAGATATTGCCTACTAGATCTACGACTAAATTATTTACATGATTGTGAAGTCTGTCTGTATATTTCATACTAAATTTGTTTATCCTTTCCTATATAGTAGGAATATTTAGACCTTTATGAATATTTGCTTTGGTTAAATAAAATGGAGCGTTAACAATTTGTCGCAATGTTTTTGATTGGTAGCGCTGAAGTATTTCAATATTTTAATTGCTATTGATATTCAGGGATGAATATTAAGTTGTATTTTTTCAAATACTTTTGAGAATATTGTCAACATACCAATGGAACGGTAAAAAGATAGTTCAGTTTCTGTCTTGGTTAGGTAAAGGATCATAATGAAAATAGTGTTAAATACCATCGTGAGAATCCGTAAGCATTTTAGTGGTAGAGTTTTAAGAGTTTATCTTCTTCGGGCCTGGTGTTTTTATTAATTGTTTAAGTAAAAAAGTGAATTCTTCAAATAGACGAGCTCATTTGACAGGGTGACCCAAGAGTGCAGTTGATGTATAAATGTCTCAGCTCATTCATCACCAATTTCCATTGCTTTTGCGGATCATTATGTGTTTTTGCTGATTTCATTAGATATTTAGTTGCTCCTCACAGGATATACCATTTGTTGCTAGAATTAGGGTCTAAATTTCTCAGATATGCCTCTACAGATTCATTTCGTAAATTAGACAGTAATTGTTTAAGCTCAGATTCAGCTTTGTTGTATATCCTTTTGGCAGTAGAATAATGCCTTTCTTGCCAACGTTTTATCAGGTCCATTTTTTGTTGAATTTTTTATCAAATTTTAGTAGATAGGTACAATTGGTTTGTTTCTGTTGGTCTGATTCGTATTTATGTAGCTGGCTTTCTGGATTTTATTTGTGAAAAGCTCCACAGCATAGTCTATTTCCTCTCCTGTTTTTAAAAAAATGTCTATTAAACAAATTTCTACTTGGTAGCTTTTAAGCGCGTAAATGTCTGTGGAACCAGTTCTTGATGTGTCATTTCCAACTGAGTGTGTTTCTGAGTCGAGCACAATGTCGATTGCATTTGTTTTTAAACATAAGGACATCTGATTAACATGGTTGGAAAGCCCATTGCCATACCAGATTCCTAAGTTTAGACTTATTTGCATAATTTATTGACTTGTAACTTATTATGTTAAGTAAGTTATTGTTGAGTTCAACCTGTTTTTCTACAAAATGCTCTATTCTTTCTTGAGAAGTTTTCATATTCTTTTTTCCTGCAATAACTTGGCCGTATGAATGATAGTATTTTGTTTTTTTTATTATGGTCCTTGTTATGCATCTGTTTTCGACCAGTATCTAATTGTTTAGATATGAGCTCTTTGTAGACATTACACCCTTGGTATCTGGCGGCATGATCTTTTTACATTTTTCTGGCTGTTCTTTATCTTTTGGACATAGGATGCTGGGATGCTTACGAGACCATTTTACGCTTTTGTGTGCTCGAAGTCCTGACAACGGTGGCACTGAACAATGTCTTTTGCTTTATGCGGGGGTTCTATTTTACCAATTGTGTTACCAATGTGCTTAACTTCGTATATATCTTTGTTGTTGTTGTTGGGCTCAACGTAAAGGAAGAAGAGATTTAGTGGCTCTTTGGTTCCACGGTTCTTAATGTTATTTATGTTCGTAATAGAGTCACCTTTGGACTCCACGTCTCATTTAATTACCTCAATATCCGTTGAGAAGTGCAAATTCTTTATAACGACCCTAAATGCTCTTTCAGTTCAAGCTAATATGTGTGAAACTTTACAAAATCACTAGCAAGATTTTTAACGAGGGACCAGTATTCATCAATAAAGTTAATCATAACTCTCACTTGACTATCTTGTTGAGATTTATAAAATTTATTTTTATACGCGTGTGTGTAGAAGGAAGCGTTTCCGACCCTATAAAGTATATTTATTCTTGAGCAGTATCAAAGTCGATTGAGCCATATTCGTTTGTCCGTCCGTCTGTCCGTACGAACGCTGAGAGCTCTGGAACTATTAGTGCTAGAATGTTGGAATTAAGCAAGTATAATCTTGAGATGCCAACCAAGCGGTTTGCGCTTTTTGTAGAAAGGCTGATATCTCGGTAATAACACAATAACATCCGATAAGAATATAATATAGGTGGCGGCTTGGCAGGTTCATTAATGTTGTCTTCAGTTATTATGTCAAGAGCTTCGTTTTAATCAGCATCATTGCCTTTTTCAGTTGGTTACCGTTCAGCCAAGATAGGAAATTTATTGGAGGTAGTGCTGGGTGCAGTGTCCAGGGCAAGTTTTTCTTTAATATCCTGGGAAAAACCCGATTTGGTGCGACTCTTTCTGCAAAATAAATGTAAGCTCCTTCACATTTGTAAAAACCCCACTGTACATACCGACTATTATCATGTAATAATAAAGACATAAAACAAATTTACAACTGATAAACTTCTGACTTTCAATAGTACAGTAACTTATTTAAAACTAGCCTTAACAATAAACATAATAATCACCTCAATAAGGGAGGTGGCGGCATCAGCGGTTTTGTCCATGGTTTTATTACCGAACTGTTGGCGGTAGTGAAGGCCCACATCGCTTCTCTGGGTGGAAATGCCATGGTTTCGTTTTACATCACCGAACTAATGTTGTTCGATAATCAGCACAAGAATCAGGGTCAGTGCCTGATTAGCATTGGTGGCGATGCCGTCTATGTGAGTTACCATGCCGATGACTGATACAAAAACTTGCGGGGCATATAGCGACTATTTTACGCGAATCGTCCCAAAAGTCTTTACTCTCTATTTTCTTCCGCTTAGCTAGAACTGTCAGCTTTGCCCAGTAACTGAAGTTAATCTAATTCACGTTTACTTGACAACTACTCGTATATAGTCTGTAGTTGGATTCTTTATGCAATATTTTAACTGTGAGGAATCGTTCTTCTCCTTACTTTGTGCGACTTTTTCGGTCTATTTACTTGTTTGCTTGATGTTTTCATAGTTGATGTTTATTGAATATTAAATTTAGATCGAGTGCTAGACACAAGAATACTAACGATATATACAATTTTTGCAAACAGAAACATGACACACATATACTCGTACTCCTAGATATCAAATTTTGGAGTGTAAAATATATTACATACAATATTTAAGTATACTAAAACAATACTGGCATCTGCAGATTTAGACGACTGGGCATCATTTCACCATTCGTACAAGCTATCAGCACAAAATAAAGATCGGAGCACAACCCTAGCATCAATACCCAAGCCGGATCTCATAATCTTTACACGCTTAAAAAGTGGTCACCCCGAACTTATTTACTTCTACATCCTGGACGAAGAAATAAAACCTAACTTTCTTGACTTAGGCGGTGATTTAACGGCCCTGGTCATATGGTGGATGGTGGTGAGGTTTTAGCAAGATGAGGATATAAAAAAATGGCGACAGCTTCTATAGATTGCGATGTGGAAAACGAAACAGTTCTTGAATTCTCTAAGACTGAGACATATTTTATTGAACAAATTTAACAATATCTAGAGGTACCAAATGCCTAAGTTAACAAAAGTAGGTATAAAGTAAAAATAAAAGGATATTTCACAAGCGGAGTCACTTGGCTCGTAGGTTGCATAGTACAGTTCTTTTCGTTGTGACTGCCTGGCTTGATGATCACGTTAGGCTCCCTCCACGAGTAACAGAACAGATCGTGAGGGTGTCTTTATGCTGTTTGCATTACCAAATCTTAAACAAGGTATTCGGAGAATTAGTTTCAACAATAGTTAAATGTAGTGTTTAAAAACTGCAGTAATTGATTTTAATCAGCAGAAGAAATTCATAAATAACAGTATCCCAAATAATTTACTAAATTAATCAAATTAAAAAGTTCATTAAAAATAATAATGATTCAAGTTAAATATTTTTACAAAAAGGACAGACTGTTGAGTAGAAGAGCATGTGTGTTAGTTGGCTTTTGTATCTTCATGGCTAAAGAGACAAGACACAAAAGTATTGGATGATCAGAAAGATTTTTTGTCTACATTACATTTACCGCGCTTTTCTTTTATATTTCTTTAGCAAACTTTTCAAATTTTTGTTTCAAAGCGATTCGAATCAAATGCTGCGGAAGGAGTTTATAAAGATATTCATATAACTGAATATTTTAATTTAAAATTTGTAGAAGTTACTTAAAAATATATGTTTAGGACTGACTTGATACTTAAGTTCTCAAAATATAAAAACCTTTTAATTTTTCAGTTTTTGATTGCCTCGTTTGAGTTAAAGAAAATTTTAAGCAACCAATTATTTTTGTTTAAACAACAGTTTATTATTTTTTATTTAAATCAAACTTTAACGGCTGGTGAAAACGGCTTTATAAATTTATGATCTATATGAACTTTAAGAGATCTGAAAGGAATACGTGGATAGAAGTGAACCCATGCAGAATAGGCTTCATTTCATTATACAGGGTGGCCATATAGCGTTTGCTTTTTGAACTATCCATAATTTTGACTTTGACATTTCGAATGTCAATGTGCCAGATATTTCCCCGAATGGAAGAGGAAGACATAGACGAAATATGGTTCCAGCAGGACGGTAATACGTGCCGCACAGCAAACGTCACAATCGATCGATTTTAAAACGTAAGTCTTTCGTGGGCCATCCTATATTTACCGCCTGTTATCCATTTCTAAAAACTGGATGTTTGTACTGCCTATTTTTATGTCAACAGCTTGATTAAAAAAAAATATATTTTTAAAATTAAAAAATATATAACTCGAGCTCGGAAAGCTTTCCTTATATTTTCATTTAATTTCTGAGGCAGCTTCATAATGTAGTTGTCCGATATTTGGCATAGAAACTTAATGATGCGGGGACGAACATTACCAGATAGCCTCGTATGTTGATTTTGATAAAGGGTATGTACTTATGTAGTTGTCCGACATTTGGCATAGTAACTTAGTGATGCGTGGACGTACATTACAAGATAGCCTCGGATGTTGATTTTAATCAAGGGTATATACTTATACCTCAGTTCCCATAACAAAATAAAAAATCACTTAAGAAGATAATGCTTTACATACGGGTACTCTTTATGCCATATCCCCAAGCTTCGCAATAAAGATCTAAGTTGGGTGACGTAATCTTGCCACTCCTTTCATGCTGAAGTCCTTTGCTGCAATTTTTTAATCATGTTGCTTTTAGCACTCCTTCGTCTAGTTGAGCAAGAGATGCAAGAGAAGCCACATCAATGGTTGTCACACGATTGCAGCTGTCCGTCCCTGATGGAAGCCTATTAAACCCACTGTCCGTTTGTACAGGCATGATGATGCAGACAAAACTTTGGCCTGTTTGCGAGTTTCGGGGATGCAGTGTAACCGGATTGAACTTGTCGCTTTTACCCTCGGAGTAAGTTTGCAGGCGCTGAAATATCTCAGGATAGTGCTTGCGAAGCTTGACACCGCGTCTAGATAAGATGTCCAAAATATTGGAAAAGATCAGCTCTCGCGTGCCATGCATATGATGTTGCCTGGCGTTGAAGGTGAGAATAAGTATTTCAGTCCGCTCCGGCATAGCCACCACCTCCTGCTGCTGCTTTATTTCGGCTAAAACCGTTTTGCAGAGTTTTAGTTTGGCGCAACGACTAACCAATTGGCGTTCCCAGCGCACCGGCGCTTGGCCCATGCCTGGCGACTCTGAAACAACACAAATAGCCACATAAATGAGCATTTTGGATTCCGGCCTGTACTCAGTGCTGAGCTTGAGAAGTTCAGAGTACAGCTCAAGGCCCATCTCGGCGGGCATAAGGTCCGGCCAACGCACGTACGAAGCCTCACCCATGCACTGAAATCCGTTTTTAATGAAGCACTCCGCTGCTTCAGGACTGCGGAATAGCATCCGCACGACGCCTCTGCCCTGCGCGAAGCAGCCATTGCAAGACAACAAGCTGAGATGGCGTTGTGTGTCAAGATCGTCCTTGCAGGTGGCTAGCACCTGGCGACACAGGTTGGAAGCGCGCGAGTGTAGGCACGCTTTACGATGATTTTCCCAGTGAGCTCGACGACACTCACGCGAACAGTATAAATGAGAACAATTATGGCACGACTTGAAGACCTTTTTTGCATCGCCTGGAAATGCACTCTGATTGCACTTCGGGTTTCGGCAGCGAATTTGTTGTTCCGTTCCTGATTCTCTTTCCCTCGGCTCTTCGTTAATTTTCCCACCACTTTGTATTTTTGAATGTGTAATTGTGGACGCGATATCGCCAAGCGACAGCCGCCGACATCCCTTAATGGCATTTTGCTGATTCATTTCTCCAACTCCAACTGACTGCGAATTGAAGAAAGTATGAGATTGTTGCTGGATCTTGGAATGTTGATTTTGCTCTGGGTGGTCCTCACCCTCACTGTGACGCCGAAGACGCTGCTTTTTAACTGCTGAATGAATCTCCATCTGGTATCGAATGAAGTCATCTGTGAGAAAGATATTAGGTCTGAGATTAGTTGGTGACCGGTTCTATATTTACCATGAACAAAAATAAATAAAATTGGTGTAATGTTAAATAAATTATGGCATCAAAATGTGTCATGTATTTTAAATATCCGTCCCAATGGGGACGAGCATACCGAATAAAAAGTTATAAGTATAGTCGAGTATCCGAAAAAAAGATACAATAGTCCCAAAAGTATTACCCTTTTTTTGTTTGGTTTAACAAATAAATGCACTTATTAAACGTTAATATATGAGTAAAATACAGGGTGACAAGAAATAACCCAGACTTACATTTTTCAGAAAAACTTTTTAAGGAACTATAATTTATAAAAAACAACTATTAAATTGTTATTATGTTAACATATATAAAGCCGGTTTCAAAGTGGCTTACTTGGGCTGCGATGCAGGGCCCTACACGTTTCTGAAAATTTAGCGGAATGGGCCGCATGCACGCGCATGTCTTCTTCCGATAATCGATCCCATTCTCAAAGCAATGATTGCTTCAGCGCCTCCAAGTTTATGTGGCGTTTGGAACATGCCCTGGAATCTAAAATTAACCACACACTGAAGTCCATCGGATTGAGATCTAGCGAGCAAGGTGGCCATTCACTGGATGTAATAAAGTCCGAAAAATTTGCTATGCACTAGTCCTGAGTCCAGTCGCCGAACTGTTCGTTCGTGCACACACTGCTTTCGGTGCAAGCCGCAACTCTTCAAGCAAATTATGGGGAAATTGCCATCAGACAGACTTCAAAAGTTCCGCCCTTCTAATATCTGAGGAGTTGATTTTTGTGGACCATTTAGCAAAACCTATAGTATTCCTGATAAGCTGCCGCACAAGTCAGTCCTGGCCTTGTTTGTGTGTTTTGCGACCAAAGCGGTTCACTTAGAGTTAAAATTATCGCGGAAACGCCGCCCTTCAAAGAGGTCGGTGTTTGTCCAGTTACAAAATCCTCTCGCTTTTGGTCGCCAAACCTCTATTCGAAAATAAGCCCTTGGAAAATCACAAGTATACTCGTTATGTCAATATAAACTAATATTGAATTTTGTATATATTTATAGTATAAATATAATATTGTAAACATATAACTAAATTAAAGTTGTATTTTTTGTAGGTTATTACACAATGGGAGTGTCAGAGGATGTTGCAATGGCTGTCACAATTTCTCCAGCTCTGAGGATATTGTATTAAAACATAAAAATCTTTGTAGTCGAAAGGTACCAAGAATAACGAGTATAAGCAATATCGCCAATAGCCTCAGGGTCCGTTCCTAGTGTACGCACCCTTTGAATATATTGGCGCCCGAATCTGCAGTATATCCTATGCATAAAATATAAAGTGTGCTTTTGATTTTAAGTTGGGTAAATTTGTTTTTAAAACTTTTTGTTTTATTTTTTGGTATAACAAATAAATACGTTTATTAAACGTCAATCAGCCAACTTAATGGCTATAATACGTTGACTATAGTATTGAACATATAACATAAATACATAGCAGGGAGGAAATTAACAAATGTTTAAAGATTAATACTACAAATTTGAATTAATGTTTTAGAACTCGAGATACTTGGCGTCCTGTTGTCCCCAGATCGGCAGGATTTCTTCGCTTTAGACGTCTTCAAATTCTTTTATTAGCCAGGGAAGAAGCTGAATGGTTGGTGAGAGCTGCTAGCCGATCATTGTTCCCTAATAAAAGGAATTTGGTCACTTGCAAGATCCCCGGTTTTTAACTCTTTATACTCTCATGACGTTAGGTCTAAGGCCATGCCCCATATTTGGATGCAGTACAACATCGAGGATATCACAATTGATTTAAACAGTAGCACCTTGTTATCAAGAAAGCAGCGAATGCACGAACGAACAGTTCGGCGACCTACTTCTTGGGCATTAACTACCCATACTTTTTCTCGCAAAAGACAAACAAGAGCTCGAGGACCAGTTCGTTCGTTCGGTATGACACGTAAGACCTAATGAACTGCGAGCATATCGATAGCAACAAACGAAATTTGGCCACCAACTCGTAATATCGTCGAGGAGCACCAATCTAATCTATTTTCCTGCACAAAGGGATTCAACTTGTGAATATTCAGCGATAGCGGTCTCAGTTTCTGAATGTTGCCTATGCTGTCCCTGAATTTGTGAGATTGAATAACTTCTACCACTTGCTCGAACCCAAAATTCAGTTCTCTTGTCATAATACTTTGTTCGAGAGGCGTTGACACTTTCTTACATTTTCAAATGAATCGGAAAACCCACACGAAAACTCTCAGAAGCTTCAGGTGCGACGAAAAGGACTCTGTTTTCTGAAGAAAGCCATAAGGCTCTGTTGTAGCGATCAGAGTTAACGCCGACTTGCGTAACTCTATAGACACAACTTCTGAAGCTGGTTCGAAGTATGAATTTACAGGCCAATTGCTTTCTGAGTCGAGTAAAAACGATGGCCCAGCGAACCAGATGGACGTGACGAGCTCTTCAACGAACACATCCTCGAAATACTATATCCGCTGGGTTGACATTCGTAGGAACGTGACGCCAAATTTCTTTCTCTGACCACTCTTGGATTTCCGCTACTCGGTTCGAGACGAAAACGGACAACGACGAGGGATGGGATTTAATCCAATGCTGAGAGATCTCGGAGTCAGTCCATAGGTCAACTGTATTTATTGGGAAATTAATTAATGGCCATACACGATTTAGAAGATCTGCCAAAAGGTGAGCTCCACACAGCGCAAAGTGAGGCAAAGTTTCGTCTTGAGGGGAGCTATTTTTGATTTGGCTGTCAGTTATGACACTTTTAAACCTTCAACAGTTCGAATGCGAACGTAGATGCACGCTGCATATGCTCGCATGGAAGCGACAGCGAAACCGTGTATCTCAATCGGGACATGCGGATCTGTGTGAATGAATGGCGGTACCATAACGTTGGGCAGTTGTAGCAAAGTTGCTTTGAAGGCTTCCTACGACGATAGTTACTGCATTTTAAGCGACTCGTCCCAATCTAATTTTCTAAGCCACAGCTCCTGTAAAAGCATTTTTGCCCTTGTGACCAAAGGACACAATAGGGCTATTGAATCGAAAACCCACGCGGTCACGGAAACTAAGTTTCGTTTTCTCGCATGAAGATCCAGGAAAGAGTCATCCAATCGAAGTTAAAAGTAATCTTTGCCAGGTAACCAAACCACTCCAAGGGTTTTAGTTACATCTGAATCAGCCAATAATGGCATAACAATACTATCAGATGCGGAGATCAACAGATCGTCAACATAGAAGTCGTTCTAAATGACCTTCGCAGCTTTTGGATACTTAGCTTGCGCCATCTTTCCAAGCTGCTTAAACATCGGATTGCCATAAAAGGTTTTGGGGAAGTTCCATATATTACGGTATTTAGCTTTAAGATCTTCAGAGACTTAGAAAGATCCCGCCTCCACCCTATGAACTGGAAGTTTCGGTCAGCTTACCTTATTCTGGGGTATACCTTATTAATGTCCGCTGCAAGGGCAAAATTAAATCTGAGCCTAATCAGCGTAGAATACAGTTGCTATTGAATAGATGGGCCTACCATCAATATGTATTTCAACGCAACCTGCATCGATGCATTCGAATACCACTCTGAACTTGGTTGAGGTGCTTTGAAATAGTGTGGGCCATCTGGAATTTTATCATTAGTAGAGGACATGTGTCCCATTGATACATATTCCTCCGTGAAATCCAGATACATTTTCTTGAACGAAGGATCTTTTTACAGTCTCCTTTCAAGCGACAAAAATCTACGTTTCGCAACTTCATACCACGAACCAAGAGTTATTGGGTCAGATTTGAACGGCAGATAAACCGAAAATCTCCCAGACGGCAGTCTTTGAGTATATTTCTCAAAGTGTTGTTCACAAAGTTGCTTCTCAGGAGTATGGCCTTTTCTGCAGGTTGGTGTCGATTGACTCTAACTCTTCTTTCTGACAGCTGAGATGAAGCGAATTTTCTATCTTTATTTTGTTTTCCGAGGCACATCTCACTGACATCATCCAGCCGAGGACAGTTTTTTGTAAGACGGGAAGTTCAGGCCTCTGCTCTATGGAATGGATCTGCCAATTAAATATTTTCAGGTACGCTTCACCAGCTGGTGTTCAAAATATACTTGTGAACCAGAGTCAAGCAACGCTCTAGCGAGCACAAATTCGGCACTTTTCGTTAACATGGTCACGAAAGCTGCGCCAAGAATAGGTCTATCCGATACAGTCGCATGCAAAACATGCGAAATGGATGGAGACTCTTGTGTGACCGCGTGCTGAGGAGGAGACAGCACCTTTTTGGGCTTGGAAACCTCTTCGGCGACCATATGCTGGTATCGCCTATCCGCAGCCGTCTCAAATTCGCTTTAAAAGGGTTGTAAATTATAGTCCAACTGTTCTTCTTCGTTATCCGTTTTTCATCCCCAATAGATAGCAGAGAATCATAAAGAGCTCTGATTGTGTTGATCAAGTTTTTCAATTCTGTAGCTTAAGGCTGGGATATTGGGATATTGTCGAAGAAAACCATACAAATCATTATAAATCATTATCATACACCCGGCTCAGGCTAGCCAGAGCTTTGGGGTAATTAGCCGCAGTGACTTGGAACGCCCTTACTGTGCCTAAAGCACATAATCTATTACATGATTGATTTTTCAATATCGTGCAGAGTGTCATCTTTATCGACAAATGTTTCGAAAAGGCTTATAAAATTGTTAAAATCAAACTGCTTTCCGCTGAAGGTTGAAATAGCAACGCAGGGCATACGGCATTGGGAAGTGCGCTTTGACGGCAGAGCGGCATCATCATACGCCTGCTTTTATTTTTTAAGCGAAATCAGTAATGATTTTGCCATTACGGCAGTTTCTTCTAGTTCCTCGCGGAATAAATCCTCTCCGTATTTTTCTTCGATTTGATTTTGAATCAAAGAAGCTTTTTCAATGCGCGAATTTAAAATTTCTAATTAAATAATAATT